GTTAAGCTGGGCAGATGCTAGTCTCAAGACGAGAATGATACAGGCGTAGGTGATCGTAGCACTGCTGTTCTTGTCTTCCATGGATGCGAGGACCCGCTGCAAAAGGACAGGGGTGAGTAGAGCTGCTAGTGTTAGATTCGTCTCGAGCAACATGGGGAATGTCACTTACTTGCGCACATCCGAACAACGTTGAGGACAGTCGTAAAAACTAAGTCCATGCCGTTTGCAATGAAGACTCGTTTTGTCACCGAACCCTGTAGTTTTCGGAATGCCTCGTGCAGCCGCGCGTGCTTGAATTCCCAGCCAAGATCCCATATATCCTCGTCTTCCATCTGACGTGTCACGCCTTTTTTGATCAATGGTTCCATCCACGACACTGTCATGTATTGCCAAGGAGTCAAGTTATCCTCGGGAGTCCTAAGTTGCACCGTGGGAGTGGCAAAAGCTGGGCTAATGTCTTTCCTAGGTAGCCTTGGGTCTCGGAGAGGCATGTTCAGAATCAGAACGATGCCTAGTGCAGCCGCCACGGGTGCGACGATCCAAGGAACATCTTTAGCCAGGAGTGGGCTCTCCTTGTGGATTAGTGTGACCAGCTGTTCGAGAAGAAGACTCGTGAAGAGAAGCAACAACGATAATGAAGCTCTTCTAGGACGCTCCACGACGATAATTGCTGCCACGATGGCCTGCAATACTTGTTAATCGATAATCACAAGCTCGTCACATTGTACGTACCCATGCGATGGCGGGATAAAATGCCGTCGATTGTCGGACGGGAAAGAAAGCGCTCAGGATTTGGAATGTAAGTCCAACCGTAGCTAGGACTAGCAGGCCAAACGTGCTGCTCAGAGGCTGCGGTGTAGAGCGTGTCTCCAATTCATCCGACTTGTGCTTTTCCTCGCGTACGAACGGCTTTGTCCATCCCGGCCAGTAGCCGTCTGCAATCTGCAGCGAGTATCGCAGCAGTACCAATGCTGCCAGTATGGCTGGAATTGTTGCTACGAATGGCAGAGCACATGGCGTGAATCGGGCTGCTTCCGTATTCTGGTGAGATCAGCAATATGCAGAAGAGGTGTAAGTGACCGTACTGACCCAAATGCGATGGCAGTGCGATATTGATGGTATGTCAGAAAATGTTGGAGCCGATGATAGTGGAATCTGGAAGGACGCCATGACATGCACCGTTTTCGGATGCCCGTCAGCACCTACTTGGACAACACTTCCTTCCACTTTAGCCCCAGCTGATGTGAACTTGGGTGAGCAGAGGATAGCATGTAGACGAGATCTTACGCAACTCTGCTAGGCATCAGTGAAAGGAAAGGGCCAGCATGCGAGTGTCGGTGAACATGTTCAAAGCCCTGAGGCGACATCTCGGAACGCGGACTAACGCCGGGAATACTAGCGCGCCCCACATTCCTTGTTCCCAAAGCCGGAGGAGCCATTGAGGTATCTGCACGCATCATAGTATCGCAGCACGACCTCTCTCTCCAGCCAGTGAGACCAAAGCTACACCTCATATGCAGTTCGCCAACCGACAGATGCATGCCGATCAAAGCATTGCGCCGTTGGCAGCTGCGCGAAGAGTATCAACGCGTCATCGCGCCAGAAAACAGTTGAGAACGCGGACATCGTCACCGGTCAAACTATAGTGGATGTACAACTTGATGACATCGCGCTGCTTGCCCGTACCCGACGCGTCTGCGCTAAGATGCCACAAAAAGGTACAAATTTCGGAAGTACCCAGAGATAGATGCGGTATGAGGCACGACTGCTTCCCAACGACCTTGGTGCTATTACCTTGCGTTTGTTGTTCCGGCTCGGCTTTGTGATCCCTCGCCAAGGAGCGCGTGATGACGCGCGAAACGTCGCTGCCTCCTGTCGCCCTCACAGCAAATTGCTTCTTCGTAGAAACCACCGCCACAGCCACAACACCGTAAACGTCTCGGGCGCAACCAGCCTCGAAAAATAGCGAATCATGGCCGTCGACTGCTGCTTCGCGGAAACATCGCTCCGATGGCAGCAAGGCTACGAGCTTCCGACACCCGCAGCTTTGCGTACAGCAGGAGCGATTCTGATACCGCAGGCAGCCGCACTAGCTGTTCGTAGTAACTGTGGGATGGGCACAGCCGCTGCATCTGCACGTGGAATGCAGCGCGTGGGTAACAAGTGTGCCTGGGTCCGTACCAACGCGTCCATCACTGGTCTGCTGCACACAGCGATTCTTCGCGAGTCTTGCTATCGATGCTAACAGAAAGACCGACATAGTGCTAGGAGCTAAGAGTGCTCATCGTGTTGTTCTGCTCGGCCGCCGATGCAAGGCTGCTATGAAGCCTACGAAACAATCCAAGCATTCGGCACAGCAGTGACATTCAGCACCGCCACACGTTTGTTCATGCGAACTCTGCAGCTGCTGGGGAAGTAATCCTACAACGCGTTGATAAATTCAGCGCAAAGGGTTAAATGGCATCCAGCCCAAATTCCTCGCTCCGTGCACATCAATCATCTACTTCGTCTTTCATCTATCAATCCTGCTTACAGACATGGTTCTCGATACATCTTTTGACAAATCTTTGGGTTCCAAGCTAAATGGGCTCAGGAAAAACTCGCAGCTGGAAACAGGGCACATACCTACCAGTTCACAAGTCAAGTCATTTCAACCTCCCCCACCCAGACCGCGCTTCATGGATACCCAAAGCGACCCCACCCTAACCTCTACTGGTTCACCAATTCGCAAAGCCATCCCCCAATCACAACGCCTGGCTGCGTTAACTACTCGCGAAAAGTCTTCCAGTCAGCCGTCCCGAATAGTCTCTGACTCTATCGGACGCCCAAAACAAATCATCGATGACGCCGCACGAATTTCTCATGACAGCATCGCACGTAAGCGTCCACGGCGTGATGGTAGTCAAGGTCTTGAAGTGGATGGACTATCAACATCGGAAGTGCGGTATTCCTCATCACCCTCTCACGCCGAAGCGAATCAGCAACCTCATCAAGAGCACGATGGCTTCTCGCCAGTCCTGACCCCAAAGACCGCCAGATCTACCCACGACAGCTTGTATGGAGAGCTGCTCAAGAATCCGACTCCTGGCGATCGGAAAGGAGTCATCTATGTTCTATGTGACCCAAACAACAAATCCAGAGGTTACAAGATCGGAAAGACGAAACGAGCCTATAGAGACCGCATCATTGAGCATGAAAGAGCCTGTGGCTTCCTGCCCAGTGTGATCCACGTGTCAGATCACGAGATTGATCATTGTGGTCGCCTAGAGAAGCTTGTGCATATCGACCTGGAGAACTGCTGTGCACCATTCCATTGCGAACATCACGGGCGCGTCAGCGCGAATAAGGAGTCCAAAGCACACAAGGAATGGTTTCAGGTCACCGAAGAGATGGCAGTCAATACTGTAAAGAAATGGGAGAGATTCTTGCAACAGGAGAAGCCTTATAGCTGGGATAGGCAGCTGAAGATTATATGGAGATATCTTCTCGAGACTAGGGCAGCCGGACCTCTTGGCGTGCGTACATGGACACACGAGGCGCGACGAGAACACTGGGACAGAATACTTGCGCCTCCAACGACAATCGAGTACCTCCACGCCTATCGAGCACACGTTCAAATGTCTTTGAACAGTCTTCGTCGCTTTGCAGTTCACGTATGGACATACGTATCGGAATTCTTCTGGCCGTTGTGTACATTGATCTATGGCGTGACAACGTTGGCCGTATTTCAGAATCTGCTGGCGTTCTATGCGTTCGTCTTCATTCTGGGATGCGCCAGCGCCAGGGTTCTGTCTTACGTACCGCTGAGTCCTCCGAAGCGACGAACCAGAACGCCCAACAAGGTACATACGGCAGCTGCTTTGATGCAACATTAGCTTGTGGGTAGACGCGGGATATCCCACGCAGGCATGGTATTTTAGCCGTAATCCGATAACCTCCCTTTCTTTTTGGAAGAACTGCCTAAACTAAATCCTTCAACCCAGAGATGATCTGAGTATTGTTTGTATGCGTTGTATGCACGGTGTCCCTATGCGGAAGGTACCAATCCTTCATGCCGTTCTTCCCTTAGCCTACAGGAGCGAGGTAAACAACACCAAAACCTCCAACGCCTGTAAAGACGGCAAACGTCAGAATCGGGTATCTTGCCCCGACACCGTTCGCTACACATCCTCTGGGGGCCTTAGCGCGCTCCCGTAGTGGATGTGCGGGGTATATTCCCGCGAAAGAGAGCTCCAGTGTATGTACCCCACATCACGAGCTTCCATCCCACTCAGGCCAGGACTTCATCGCATCCATGTAGATTCAACCGTGCCTCGGCTTCGATTCGCGAGCTTGACCTGAAAGTCCAATAGCGTCCGATGAACCTAGCAGCAAATCCTCGTCCGACTACCACGCGACCAGTTCATCCCACCATCAGCTCTATCCATGTCTCCCGGACATGCATGCCCAGGATAACATCCCAGGCACCATCTCCTGGGCCGAGGAAGCTCAGATCCAAACATGATGCCTACTGGTCAGATGCTCGAGGGTCAACGCCAAATACCAGATCTCGATCTCGGAGACAAAGGACTACCAGGTGTCACAATACTTCGGACCACTGTAGCCGTTTCTGCTCTATTACCTCAAAGGCTCTGCATCTGCTCACTAGATCTCTTCAAGTCAAGGTCTTGCCTATGGGGGTAAGAGCAGAAACGCCAAGGGTATCTCGGATTGTTGTGACACCTGGTAGAACGGTCACAGCGCTCTTTTGGGGAGTCAACGTCCGTCAACCACTATTCGAGATGCATTACAAGATTTTAGGTAGCCTCAATACCGAGGTAGGCGCGAAGGATGTGGATTTGCAACCAGTATCTTGGGTATGTTGAGAGGAACATAAAGGGAAGGAGGGAACCCGTATGGGAAGGACCACAGCACAGTCAAACAGCCAACTTCCAGCTTCCTTCTACTACTTCTCTCTTCAGAGCCACCAGGCATTACCCATCGTTACTACAATCGTCAATATGAAATCTATCACCATTCTTTCTCTTTTTGCTTCCCTCGTTCTTTCTTCCCCAATCGCTGTACCCGCCTCTGCGCCGGCGGATGCACCCCAGCCCATTACACTCGAAGCTCGCCAGTCAAGCGCTACTCGCAATGAGCTGGAGAGCGGCAGTAGCGCTGCTTGCCCAAGAACCATCTTCATCTTTGCAAGAGGCAGCACTGAAGCTGGCAACATGGGCGCCTTAGTTGGTCCTTTCACAGCCAGCGCTCTCGAAAGCGCATATGGAGCATCCACTACCTGGATTCAGGGTGTAGGCGGCCCATACACTGCTGGTATTGCGGAAAACACGCTTCCAGCCGGTACCTCCCAAGCCGCCATCCGCGAAGCCCAACGTCTCTTCAACCTTGCTGCGAGCAAGTGCCCCAACACGCCCATCACTGCAGGTGGATACTCTCAAGGCGCTGCCGTCATGTCGAACGCTATTCCTGGTCTGAGTGCTGCTGTACAGAACCAGATCAAGGGCGTAGTGCTGTTTGGCTACACCAAGAACCTTCAAAGTAAGCTCTTTCCTTCTCTCAACATAGTATACAACAGTCTGTAACAGCGTTTCAGATGGCGGAAGAATCCCCGGCTTCCCAACCAGCAAGACTAGGGTCTACTGCGAGACTGGCGACTTGGTCTGCACTGGAACACTCATCATCACACCTGCGCATCTCCTATACTCGGATGAGGCTGCTGTACAGGCACCCATCTTCTTGAGGGCTCAGATTGCGTCCGCATAGGTTGCTAGGAGAGAGGCTTTGATGCAAGGATAAAACCTTGCTTCTTATCAGCCAGGCTGCGTTCTCGGTATCGGCATATGCTCAGTCCTTCTTCACTTCACGTACACACTCTTTATAGTAAATAAATGATTCATGAACCAAACCACTTCAAAGAACCCCAGTCATTCTTTTGCGATACACGCTGCCAAATGCGATTTGCTATCTAGTAACCGCTTGGTACTAAACTATTAGCCCACTCTTCCACATCCGAGAACTGATCCTCGACGTCGTCAGGTATGCCATTTCCATTGGCATCCGCCCACTGCTTTCCACCGTCGATAGTTCCAGGCCCAGCCATGGGGCTAGCATTCTCGTCACTAATCAGCTCACCCGTCTTCCCGTAGCTCTTCAATTCTTCAATGAGTCGCGTGTCAACAACATCGCGCACCTTACTCGCACCAACAGAACTCTCGGCGAGCCTCAGCGCATCTTCCGCCGATAGAGTCTTCTCGGGCGCTGGGAAGGGAAACTTGGCCGTCTGGATAACCATGCCTCCGTAGTTGCTGGAGGATGCACCCAGCTCCGTTCCGTCCAACGTGCCATCGCGGTTAGAGTCGTAGAAGTTGCCTTCAACGTAGCCCTTGAAGTTCTCATTCCCGCGCGTAAACGCCGTGACGCTGGTACTGGGCCCGCTGATGAAGTAATTCCCAACGATATTCGCCTCGCTTGCTGCACTCGAATCTCCAGCGATGTATCCTCCACCTCCACCCCAGTTGTACACCACGTTATTGGTGAAGTCATTGGTGCCTTTGACTTTCGGGTTTCTCGTTTTGTTGTCAATGTATAAGTTGCGGAACAGGCTGATACCATTCCCGAGATTCGTTTGCATCAGCCCGCCACACGAGTGTGTTTGCAGGCCTTGCCCGATGATACTGTTTTGAATGGTTATGTTGCCGACGTCGTTGCCGGAGATCGAAAAGGTCTCATCGCGACCCCAGGAGACAGAGACGTGGTCGAAAATCATGTTGCTTCCCTCTGCGATCGTGATACCATCTTTTCCGCTATCTCCTCCTTTTCCCATTCTGATGCGCAAATACCGGACGATCGCATCGTCGGCGTTGCTGAAACTCCACCCATTTCCGTAAACTGTGATACCATCGCCTGGCGCTGTTTGCCCAAGGATAGACACGCGTTTGGCCACGACCATGCGCTCTTTAATCTTGATCAAACCACCTAGCGAGAACACGACTATGCGGTCGCTCTGGGAAACGCCCTCGCGGAGAGACCCTTCACCGCTATCATTGAGGTTTGTAACAACATAGACAGTGCCACCATGACCGCCGACAGCGTTTCGCCCAAAACCTTCTGCGCCTGGGAAAGCGAGGGCGGCGACGGAGGATATTAGCAGGGGCAGAACAGTGCAGAAGATCATCTTCAAGGCGAAGAACACGGGGTAGGAAGAATGTCGGAGACTGAAGGAAAAGAGATGTAATATGAAAGCTCCACGCGGCATGCGCAGAGGCGGCGAGATCAGCTAGCTAGTCCGTAGCGCGCTGCTGGTGAATGACACCTTGGATTACTCTCTTCATTTACTCCAGACGTTGTGATCGACAGGGTCCTAAAAGATAGTCCGCCAATCACAGCGGGGATGTGTTCGGACGGTAGGAAAGCATGGCACACAGCAAAACCAATGAGTGCAGGTCTTGTGATGTGGGATTGTTGAATGCGCAGCTCGTACGGGCACGTACTTCGGGTTCTCGGTGTATTAAGCCCCATGGGTATATTTCTGCTTTCCCTAGTACATGCTAGACCCGGTTTTGACACTTTCCGTAATTATTCCAACTTCGGCAAGTTCAGCAACCAAATCCATGAGCATGTGGTCGCAACCTGCCGCAGCTACCATACCAATAGTAACGGGGAGCGTTTCGTTTCTCTCAGTAACCCTGCTGACATACGTCCTGCAATGGTAGAGGTACGAAGTCAGTATATGTCTTATATGCACTTCGTACAGTCAAGCTTACCTTGCGCCAATCGGTATTGTGTAGTCGGGTAGCGCAGCCAGAACTGACATCTGGTTGCCGGGTAGTCCAGCAGCAAATATACCACCTGGAGCGGCTGTATAGATGTCGCGGTAGTCTTCCGTACCGGCGCCCATAGGATACAGCACCAACGTTGACTCGCATGATGGCGTCAACGTCTCTCGAAACCATGTCTGAAAGGTGTGCGTGCGCTCCATAGCAGTGGTATAGCTAGAGGTCGGCAAGGTCGCGGCCCGATTCCATCGCGCTCGTGTTTGCGGGTTCCAGTAGGGCGCTTTGCCAAACTTGGCAATATACTGCTCCCTAAAAGGTAGACCAAGGTCGCGGTACTGATCCACGTTGGTAATGTTGGAGTATGTAGAGCCGAGATAGGATGCTATGCCTTCAGAGATGTTCGCGTATGCATTGAAACTGGCGTTGGCGTTGAACGTTGTCAAATTGGCGTCAAGAAAAGTAGCTAGCTGTGAGATGAACGAATCAAATATAGGCATACTCGTGCTGTTGACTGTAGGCCAAAACAGATCAGGCAAGATGACGCGCTTAGGGTAGGATGTGTATTCCTTGGCTGGGTACCATTTCCTATGCACTGCTTGGAGGAGCTTCGCCGACCTAGCCAGTACGCCCGGCGTATCAAATATTGCTGAGATGGGCAAGATTCCCTTCAGTGGCAGTGAGGCGTTGGTGATACGCATGCCAAACAGGCCGTTTGCCATGGCCGGTAAGCGAACAGAGCCTCCAGTATCGGAGGCAGTTGCAATATCCATCCAGTCATACGATGCAAGTCCAGCTCCAGAACCGGCTGATGAACCCTGGGGATGCTGGTAACCGTCTCCTCTAGGGTTGAAGGGTGCCAGCTGATCCACGTAGTCGGCTGTTGGTCGTTCCCCAAGCGCAAACTGGGTAGTCTTTGTCTTTCCGATCACCACCGCACCCATGTCGATAAGCTTTTGTAAAGCTGCCGCGCTCTCGGGAGCAGGATCCACAAGGTCGCGGTAGCCTCTATTCCCACCGCTCGTTCGGATACCCTTCAGGTCGTAAATATCCTTCACGCCCAGGCGTTTACCCGACAAAGGCTTGTCTTCTGTGGGTGCTGGATAGTATAATCGTGACGGCACTGCGATACTAAGAGCTCCGTAGGCATCTGTCAACGCCAGACCTGTGACAGGAAGGAAAGTCCCATTCTGACCTTCAGTGACCGACTCCACAAAAGCGAAATTGTGATCCCAATACAACCGGTAGACTCTGGTGATAGCCTTTGATGGGTGAAGTAGATATGGGCCGGATGCTACGCCGGCGTCCAATGCAGTGTAGATCATGCTGCACCCGATCGAGCCAAGATATGCATGTGCATTGTCTGAAAGAGTGCTTGAACCGCCAAGCACTAGTGTATGGAGGAATGATTCCGAGTATACATCGTCGTGCGATAGAAATGAGGATATCGTGAACTCCAGTAGCTCCGCGGTGACATTAGGGTCCGAAAAGGTCAGATAAGTGATTGGCAAAGGCTCTACGTTGGCCCGTGACTGGTCGCCAAAGCTAAGCGTCGCTGCGGTAAGATCTGGAGAATAATACGACGTAGAGTTGAGTTGGAAAACTGTACTCGTTCTGACAAGAGCTGCAAGCGATAGGAACAGCGCGGCCTTCATGATGTGCGGCGCGCGGACTTCGTGGGGCAATGCTCATGAAGCAACCTGTCAGCTTTATACCAATGCATCTTCGGCTTGGTATCGTGTTTTCTGGAACGCAAAGTGCGTATGTCCGTTACATGTCTATCGCGTCCTGACGGCGGGTGCAGAAGTGGGAGAGATGGAGGTTAGCGCGTCGATGATAATGCAGGCAAGACACTTGGCATGACGTCACGCGTGAGGAACGAGTCAGAATAGGCATCGTAGAGATAACGGTCAAGCAACATCCGCTAATTCACTGACAAATTGCCCGCTTGTAATGATAACACTTGCAGAATACTAAGGGTCGTTGTCTAGCTCACTGCGAGTTGAGAACGAAGACTACTGGAGACGTGTCCACGGATGAACGATTGGCATAAAGGACCATCAGTTCGTAGTATCCTCTTAGCCTTTTGAGCGCTCCACGTCGGCTTAGGAAAAACATAAACACCCTAGAGTCTACATTAAGGTTAGGCTACCTACTTTGCATATCCTAATCTTGATGCAATCTGCAGACCTGGTCGGTTTGTTTCTTGCATGCAGTGACTCAACAGAAACAGTGGCCGTCGCGTCATAACCATCAGATCAAGGAATGGAAGGGATGTGTATGGGTTTCAGAACAACGGTGAGGCGCAGTCTCCTGAAGCATAGACCTGCACCGGAACACGAGAAGCGACGGGAGTAATTGCTGTCCATAATGGGAAGGTGAACAGTTTGGGGCCCTGGAGACAATGGTGGAGTTTTCGAGGCCAGATCCGTGAAGATCAGGAAGGGCAACGCAGGCTTAGTAATGCACATGCTCATCGAGAACGGACACAAGTATTTGTAATGCAGCTGCCTGAGATCTCCGCAGCCATATCGATGCTGCCTAGTAACGAAACGCCTACGCTGTGCTTCTAGCAATGAACTAATGACGTGCGAAGTGTCTTCCGAAGACGACTGGAACTGAAGAACAAAAGGAACGATCACAGAAGAGGACCCATTGCGTGGATCTATTGCGTCCCGCTGTAAGCAAAGAGCGACCAGCTGCCTGGCAAACCCCTAGCAGTTTCGCTAGAATGCTCTGGGTCTCTTTTGTGTGGCACGACTTGGAACCGGAGACGCACTTGGTCGTTTCCTTTGTACCAACGCGTCTTCTTCGAGCTCTTCTCCAGTCGTATGTTGCCCGTTGAACTCGCAACCGGGATCGTCCATGTCTGCCTGACAGCAGTCCCATTTTATTGACCCGCCCGGTGGCCTGTACCTCTTCCCAGAATGAGAAACGCAGGGCGCATTCACGTCCACTATCTGTTCGTGACACACTGTGCAGGTCTTTATCAAAGGCGCAGGCCGTGTGTTGATGCTCGCTGACCGTGGCGTGTCTCTGGTTAACAGCCTTGGGGTTTGATTGACAGAGGAAGATGGGCCTGAGGGTTTCCGGACTGGCGTGCGTAACGTGGTTGAGCGTGGATAGGCTCCAGGAAGGTGCATGTCGCCGTCTGAACTTGACTGTGAGCGCTCACGTGGCTCCCGCTTCACTCGTGATGCGAACTCAGAACCATGAGGCCGTGATGTAGCTCGACTTCCGCTGATCTCGCGGGATTGTGCAGGCAAGCTGTTGTGACTTGGGGTCGGAACTGTAGGCTTCACGAGGTTTCTGTTCGCCGCCTCATAGAGTTCGTCGCTATCATCCTCATCTTGAATCTTGACCTTGGGCTGATGCGACTGCATCCGTTGCTGGCTGATCAGGCTCTGGGCGGATGCAGAGTGAGGCGCAAGTCCACGGACGAGGGCGCCGGAAAAGGCCGGTGACATTTGGCAAAGGTCGAGCAGCACCTTTTGCACAGCGCGCGGGTCGGCTGTCTCGATGATCTGTTTGATATGCTCAGGGTGGATAGGGCGCGCCTGCTGTGGCCCTACAGGGTTTCGCGCGGAAGCCATCGGATGCCTAGCTTCCATCCCGACATTTGCCATACCGTAGGGGCGTGGCTCGGGCTTGAGGTACATTTGAACTAGTCTTTGGGGCGGCCTTGGCTGTGGCCGCTGTTGTGGTCGTTGCTGGGGCATGTCTTCCGGCTCTGGTGAGGAACCTGTGAGGTCGATTGTTTGGCAGCTATTGCCAGTTGTGTGTGATGGAGCCATTGCGAGGGAAAGAATGACCAGATACTGATAACCAAGAGCACCCAAAGTGAATAACTGATGTCAAAGCGCGGTCTGCGGAAGATTGGTCTCAGCGTCGCACAATGAATGAATTGCTGGGCTTGGAACGTGTGGATCCCGGGCCTCTTAGCGCGACACCAGCTCACGTGATCAACGCACGGCCCTGCGCAGGATCCTTCCCCACAAACCTCGACCTGCAAGAAGGAGGCGCGTCCGTGGTGCCCAACAACGCGTCAGCTTCAACACCATCAGTAATGCGATGCGCACGCGGCATCACTTCGGACCTCAATACTGCCTCCGTCAGCCCTCTGTAACACGCTACAATCAACCCAAATCAACGCACGGACGGCAACAAGATTCCCACCAACCGGCGCAATGCACATGCGCAGTCGTTGCGCGATGAGAGATTCACCGTCTGGGGTGCATACATCAATTTTCCGATGGCTTGCTTCGCCCGTTTCGACAGCTTTCATAGCGGGGAAACGACCCCGTAGCTCACTAAGCGGCTGTTCGGAGGTCTAGGTCAGACCCGGGGAGTCCGCCAATATAGTTTGCTTAGCCGGCATGCTGAAGTTATTATATGTATATGCATACTGCACGCCTTCAGGCTAAGTTCTACATTCACTCACTCTTATACTTTCATTTTCAACTGTCCTACTTTGTCCACAATGCTCCCATCAATCGCTTTCGTGCTCACGCTCGCGGCATCCGCTGTCGCAGCTCCAACGACGCTGGCGCCTCGGGCTGGACGTACAAGTCCTCCTTCTGGATGTCTGGCTGTGGGTGGTAGCGGAAAGTACAAAACTGTTCAGTCCGCCGTTGATGCTTTGAGCGCTTCCAGTACGGCTGCACAATGCATTTTCATCGCGAAAGGTTAGTTCTAGCTGTACCAACTCCATGTGAGACATGTACTGACTTGATGCCCTCGGTTCTGCAGGCACATACAAGGAGCAAGTCTACATCAAGCCGCTCAAGTCGGCCCTGACGGTGTACGGCGAAACGACAGACACTAGTAGTTACACCGGCAACACCGTGACCATCACCCAGGGCAAAAGTCAAGATGACGCCCCCAACAACGACGAAACTGCAACTCTCCGCGCCTGGACACCAAACCTAAAGGTCTACAACATCAACCTGGTCAACACACGCGGACAGGGCTCGCAAGCTCTCGCCCTTAGTGCTTATGCTGATAAGCAAGGCTACTACGGATGCCAGTTCAAGGGTTACCAAGACACCATCCTCGCCCAGCAGGGTAGCCAGGTCTACGCCAAATCCTACATCGAAGGAGCGACTGACTTCATCTTCGGCCAGAAGGCCATAGCATGGTTTGATGGTTGCTCTCTGGGCGTTCTCACAGCGTCGGTGGGTTACATTACTGCCAACGGTCGCGATTCAGATTCCAATCCCTCATACTATGTCATCAACAACTCGAAGATCGCTGCTGCTCCTGGTAACACGGTGAGCGCGGGTGCTTACTACCTCGGCCGTCCTTGGAGGAATTTCTCTCGTGTTGTGTTCCAGAAGACTAGCATGACTAATGTCATCAATGCCGCGGGATGGAAAGTTTGGAATACCGATGACCCCAGGACTGACAAGGTCACATATGCCGAGTACGCAAACACTGGTGATGGATCCAAGGGTACCAGGGCGTCCTTCTCAAAGAAGCTCTCGGCTGCCCTTAGCCCTTCCACTGTTCTGGGCAGCGACTACAAGAGCTGGGTTGATGCAGCGTACCTTTCCTAGGCCGACGTCTTGTAGAAAGATGCTGGTTAGGTTCGGTAGTACGTGAGAGTTGGTTTTCTTGTACATATATTGGGAACACTAAATGTCTTCATTTTTATTCACACATTTACTTGCAACTGCACTTGCTTCCCAAAAATCTCAAGAACATGTCGGCAATATTGTGATCGGTATTACATTCGCAGTCTTGTTGCATGCGTGAGAAGATTCTAGCTGAAGTAAGCAAGGCTAGACACGGGCTACCGCCGAATGAGAGACCCACTAGTGGGTCACCGGACCATGTGTTTTTGCTCCGCATTGCTACGGCTTCTGCCCTTCCACTTCAACTTTGCAATCGCGAACATTTCGACAAAAGGTTCGAGATGTCTTATGGCACCATAGCCGACCCACCGCCGTCCGCAGGACGCTCAAGGGTAAACTTCTTGCCACGCCTGCCATCTGCAGCCTCAGGCTCTGCGCAAGATACGGACGAGGAAGCCAATCCGCCAGGAATATGGAGCAAAATATCGCAGAGTCTGAAGTCATTCTACAGGCGGAATTTCGGTTTATTCTTAGTTTTCTTAGCACAGACATGCGGTTCTGTCGTAAGTTTTATTTCTTGTGTGCAATGACTGCATGCCGCAGACCATGCCACTTACAAATGAGCACTAGATGAACACAGCAGCCAAACTGCTCGCGAATGACCCATCCATCGAGTTTCACGCTTTGCAAATCATCTTCATCCGCATGCTGTGCACGACGATCATCTGCTCGATTTACTCTTGGTACCACGCGGTGCCTGACTTTCCTTTCGGCCAGAAAGGCATCAAAGGACTGCTCATACTGAGAGGTACCGCAGGATTTGTCGGTTTATTTGGACTGTATTGTAAGTTCAACTCCCTCTGCGACTCTCCTCGGTTCACCCCATATAAGATTGCGACCTGCAAGGGTGGGTCATGACAGTGAACAGGACTATAGCTAACAGTACCGCCTAGACTCTTTATCATGGCTTGAATTCTCCGACGCGACAGTAATAACTTTCCTAATCCCAACTATGACGGCCATTGTATGCTTCATCTGGTTACGCGAGCCTTTTACCTGGAAAGAAGCGCTTTGCAGCTTCGTCGCATTCTGCGGCGTTCTCTTCGTCGCGAGACCACCATGGCTATTTCCCGCTTCGCACTCAAGGCCAATAGCCGATGACTCGGACGGGCATGCACCGTTACCATCAACTACCACCGAACAACGCGCTCTGGCAATCCTCATCGCGATTCTAGGCACGCTTGGTGCTTCGACAGCCTACGCAACTATCCGAGTGATCGGCAAGCGCGCCCACTCGCTCATCTCGGTGAATTACTTTTCTCTCATCGCAACGATCGCCTCGTTCGTGCTCATCCTGGTTCACCCTTCGTTACATTTCGTCATGCCCAAAACGCTCGGTCAGTGGGGATTGATCGCCATTATTGGACTCTTCGGGTTTCTGTTGCAATTTCTCTTGACGGAAGGCCTGCAGAGGGAGAAAGGTGGAAGAGCAACAAACTTGACGTATCTGCAACTTGTCTTCGCGCTTGTTGTCGAGAAGGTGATCTGGGGAACTACACCGCCTGCTGAGAGCTTGGTGGGAGCCGTGCTTATCATCGGAGCGGCGATTACGGTCAGTCTGCAGAGGTCGAGTGGGAAGGATGATAAGAAAGCTGAAGTTGTCGAAGAAGAGAGGAGGCTGTTGGAGGATGAGAATTGAGCTAGACCATATTGGGTACACGCGAGTGTATTATTATCATGTACATGCATTTGCATGACATGACCTAGATTCTGCCTCCATGCTTCACAACACTAGAACTGGCCTGCTATTGGGTTTTCACCACCCGACTGTATTGGGCTTCATTGCCGACCGACGCTGGAAAGTAGTCTTGCGGCTGATGCAGCACCTGTTCTCACACCGATGATGATGATAAGGGCAGAACCACTCGCAAGGTGCGTTATGTTGCAGTAGATATGATCTGATGATAGACCACTCTACTGGCAACACTGGTGCCACAACAGAGACAGATCCGCAGCAGCCTGATCAGCGTCGCCGCTGTACCTATACCATGCGTCAGCTTCTACTGACAGGCTCATGACTCATTGCGCTAGATCATGCTTTGCACGCAATGCCGAGTTTAAACCGCATCACCCTCATCTCTCGAATTGACATCACTGCTCGCTCTTTCTTCGTCTGTTCCTTGTCTCACAATGTGCTCTTCACTTCCATTCATGCTCATGTCTATGTTGTCGATCTCATGCACAGTCCTCCTTTTCCCCTTCCTCTCAACATGCGACAAACGAAGGCTGTCTGGCAAATTCTGGCCAGAATTGTCGTTTGATGGCTTGATCGATGACATAGCTTTCCTTGCTTTACTCAGAAAGGGCTTGAGGATAGGTGCGTTGACAGCTAAGATTCCGACAAACTATGGCAAACATTAGCAAGGTCCTAGTGGCCTTAAAATTTGAGAGGCTCACTGTTTCGCGGATTGACCAAATGGTGCCAACGTTGATCTGGGAAACGTCTTGAAGACACAGGATGCAGCGGAGCAATGTTGCTGTCATCATGAAAACACCGGTGCATAACCAGACTCCGTACAGAAGCTTCCTTCTTAAAGGTAGTCGGACGTTCCAGAGTAGAGGTAGCGGGATATACAAGATCATGAGATCGGTGCTGGATGATTGTAAGTATGGTACAGAAGTGGACAGGCTCATTTCTAGGGCTACCCACGTTACATTTGTAACGACCAACGCCAGATATTTGGATATGTTGAGCGCGCAGTCATCACCTGGATATGGATATATTTGCCAGAGTCGATAGATAGGGTGACAGTGTGAGAGGAACACGATGATAGTAGCGATGTAAGCTACAAGGCAGACTGCCCCAGTAATCTTGACGAGATTATGTTGCTGGAGATTGAGCCTATTGCTATCAGCAGGGATCAATCTAAATTTGTAAAGTATACATACGTGAGCCTCCTGTAAAAGAACAGCATACAAGCTTTTACTGTGGTAACAGCCTATTAGTATGACCACATGGCCTCGAGTGCTCCGTTACCAAAGCATTTACGTACAGCACCATATCAGGGTTGTATATAGTATCCACCCTGCGAGAAGGTATTTACTACCCACAGTAACACGTTGGCTTTCCTCAGGTGTAAGTTGCAACGCGAGTTCGTTACTCATTCCAGTGATGGAGCCATTCTGGCCGATGAGCTCCAGCATGACAAGTTCAGCAGTGAAGAAGAAGGCGCAGAGTACGGCGAAGTAATCATCTCCATCCCAACGTAGTTGGATCTGCCAGCAGCGCGCTGTAATTCGAAGTATTATAACGACAATACCAATTGCGTATTCGGTCCATGCTTCAGTCGTGAAGGGATTAGACATGCTGGCGAGACAAGCATCGACAATTGAGGGCCCTCTCGCGCGAGATCAGGGTACGCCGAGCAGCAAGGCCCTTAACATTGAGTATCATTGTAAAAAGGAATGCCCGAAAAACGAAAGCTATACGATACACGACGAGAGTGGAGGCTTTCAATCGGGCGCAGGTGACCCATGACGGTGCAAAGCGATTGGTGTGGGTACCTTTTCGGATGAGAAACCCGCCGGGCGCAATAAGTTGCCGCAGTTCCTCGAATGATCATCCTTGTGGTAGTTTGGTGATCTCGGGGTGCTGGCTACCAAGATCGCTGTGAAGATCTAACGGCCCGATTCCTATCGCAACGTCGCGCAATTGGTTGTTAAATTGCTTTTTGACATTTTACGATCTTGTCCGAAGGTAATAAGATATAGTTGGACACGAGACTGGAAAAGAGCCTGGCTGACATACAGCCTTCAGCCGTACCTGGCGGTCCATGCCTTAGCGGCGCGCGGCACACGCAGATAGGGGTGTGTCAAATGTGGATCTTGAACTCGTACCCAGCTTCGCAGATTCCCAGATGAGAGTGCTGCAGAAGCGCATGTGCGCAAATACTACGTCACTGTCAGTACAGTGGCTTCTCTAGGCACAAAAGAAAATTGATGCCGGGAGCACATCCAGACTCCAGGTCTAAGGCCTAGCGCGAGATCCGACCCTAGTCCAGTGCCCCACCTAGACACATGTGAACCGAGGCCCTTGCTGCACAGCGTCCCGTGCCGTTGTACGGGACTGCGAGGAGCGGGCAGCAAGACTTGCCCTTAGCTGAGACTCGATAGACGGTGCCCTGTGGCTTCTCCTCTCACAACACAGCGCCCAGGCACGAGGAGTGCGACGGATCTTTTCCCCACAGATCCAATATAACTTCTCGAATAAGTCTTGAAGATGCCAGAGGACGCAATTCCAGAGCACCATCGCAGGGAGAGAACATGCCCAGTTAGCACGCCGTCCAACTACATTCCGCCGTTCCCTGGATATTGCTCCAGATTCCAGGCTACAATGAATGATCTCGTCATGGCCATGATGGGAGCGCAGTACGACTCTGTTACCGGGAACGACGGCATAGCCGTTACCAAACTTCAGGAGTTCGTGAGTAGAGGGCCACAGTCAAAGCGCCCGTCGTTTTGGGAAACAACCTCCGTAATCGACAAGAGAGGTGCCTATAGCATCGCCGTGATCGCATATTGGCGCAGCGCAGACTTGCACAGCAGCTGGCAGCAGGAATCTGGGTTCGATACTTGGTGGCAGAGTTCAGACAGGGAAAAAGATGGGCATGGGTGGTTCCAGGAGATTCTGTGTCCAACGATGGATCGTTTTGAAACAGTGTTTTCAAACCCTGAGACTCCAGAAGGAGCGGCCAACATGCAAGAGAGGATCTCAGGCGAGTTGGAACAACACGCGTATTAGGGTAGCATGCGGGATCGCTTAGCAGCTGCTCAAGACAACAAGCTCGAGGGCGATAGATGGTGCTCTAAGGATGGCACCGCGAATGGCTCGAGTGATGATGCAGATTCCTCAAAACGTGTCCGTATATCCGGCAGGCCCAATCTGTGCGTGATTCGATCGGGCCAGGATTCGTCCGACACGCTACCAGGAGAGCGCAAACTCTACCTCGATACAATGCATCCGGTGCTCGTCGAGGGGATGAAGTTTCTACGTGATGAAGGGCGCGAGGTTGGATGTTATGCGATGAACTTGTGGGATGTTGTGGATTCAAACTCGTTCGAGGCGAACAGTGAAAGAACGTTCGGTTTGGGCTATTTCGATGACCTGGCGTCGCTTGAATACTGGAGTAAAAGCCACCAGACGCATATCAACATCTTCGGAGGCTTCCTGATGTATGCGAAAAAGCTGAACAATGTATTGTCTCTCCGGCTATTCCATGAGGTTTACGTGCTGGAGCCGGACCAGCAATTCTTCGAGTACATTGGGTGCCACGCCGAGACGGGGATGATGAATGCGCGCCGATCTTGAAACCTGTAGATAGATTGTTCGGAACGATACATTCATTGACAACCTGTGGTCAGCGTTGCAATTGAGAATCGTGAGTATTGAATGAAAGTTGCCATCGCGATTTTGGTACTAAGAGTGAAAGGTTCCCCAGACATGGATCCGATAGGGTGTAGCGCTATTGCCTTATCGCCTTATCGGCGTCGTGACGCGACTTGGTACGCGTCAAGCCTCACTGATATCCATCAACCGAAGGCTACGCACAACGACCCTATCAGCAATACCATCTACAGCAAAAAGGAAAAGCGTCTCATGTGGCGTGGGCCGTTCTGGACGACCGGGACCAGTGAAATGGTGACGCGAACAAGCGATCACGCGGGAACGTACCCCGCGAAACATGATAAGCGGCACGGAGCTTACGCGGGGATATGGCGACGCCATCACTCCCTGGACGCTGCCTGGCCTTCCATCGCCCTCTAGCTGTTCTTGATTTCCAATTTACACGCTCTTGACAGCACTGCTCTCGTCCCTTGAGTGCGCCACTACTCCCAGCGCCATTTGTCCGGCTATTGATGTAACCACTATCCGTTCACCTAGGCTCAGCTCCGAGGAGCTGTCGGTGCCTTGGACAGCAGACCTGCGATAGGTATCACGGTATGTTGTACTTGCAACCATGTAATCCTCCATCTCTGACAAGCCACAGAGCTAAGACTCTCAGTCTACCTCCTGCATCCCTTCTCCCTCCGATTCCCCTGACGGCTTCCATCATGACTTGGTGGCGCCGGGACCCGACACTCGCTCCTTTCCAACGCTATGCGCAACGCATCCTCCGCTCCGACGACGCGGCCCTTCGCACGCGGTGCTTCTCGCGCACGCCCTCCAAGTCAGCACAACACGAAGACAACAATGGCAACAAACGTCCATCCGGCATGTCCAACCTGGAATGGTTGCAGCTAGAGCAGTACCAGCAATGGCGAAGGAAACTCATGAACGATCCATACGAGGCCATCTTCGGGGCCAGCAACGAGAGGTTGAGTGGCAAGGGCAACAAAGACTGGGAGTGGCTTGCCAATAGCATTCCTAAGTGGATGTTGAGAGAGATGGAGAGCCACGACGACAACGCTTCGCCGCCGAAGCAAGGCAAGAGTGGCAGTATCGATCCGAACTACCCGCGACGGGTCAAGATCGATAGTGAAGAGCGCGATATCCGTAGGGAAAGAGAATCACACTTCCCCCAACCGTCATCCAGGGCAAGACTGCTCCCTGACGACCCGACTGGCATTGAGTCACCCTCTGATCTCAGGAGGCCGCGAGAGCAATTTCATGTCAAGATTGTTGGCCGCCATTCAGGATTATCGACCGAATCTACAACAAGCGCACCTCGTGCCACAGCGCAGGACTACGAACACGAGCAGCCGACGCGACCGAAGAGCACGGAGTCGTTTGAAGAATACATTGCGAAAACGAAAACGGATGCGGCTAAGAAGATCGAACAATCCAGCACGGCCGCACCCAGTAGAGAACCTTCCTTTATGGACCGCTTCCTGACAGAGAAGCCCGAACACGAAGACGCGCAACGACACGGCACGGCGGAGACAGGCAGCTGGAGAGAGACCACACTGCAAAGGAGGATACCAAAGGACGTCGTAGCAAAGCCTGATGCCGACTCTGCGCCCATGGCAAAGGCTGGTGACGAGTCGTCAATGTCAGCATCCTCAACTGACGGGACCCACGAGCTCTCCTCAGAACCACATATGCAGGAAACCCTCCCGTCGCTTCCTCCAATCTCAGGTCCTCTACGCACGAAGCAACCTTCCACGCAAGAACACATCCCACCACAGGAGACACCTAGTACACAAGGCAGCGTCACATCTGTGAGGTCAACGTCAAAAATCTTGAGCCAGTTGCCCAAAGACGACTTGGACTTCTTGAGTGCGGACGAGATTCGTGCGAACATGGCCGCAAGAAGGAGCAAGGTCCTGGACGAAGAACGTAGAAAAGCGGATCGGGCTAGATTGGAGAGCACTTTCGAGAGCACCCCCAAGGCAAAGACCGGTATGGATCCGATGCTTGAGTCCAAGATCATCAATGACCAATACGTTCGTCGAATCGAACGGCAAATGCAGCGGCCAGAGATCTCGTTTGATTCACAAGAATCCAGTGAGCCCAGGACAACTACAAAGATGGACGAAACCCCATACAAAGCAGACGAAAGCCAGTTGGAGTCGAGCGTCGAACGGATGAAGTCTTGGCTTGAAGAAAGCGGTGCAAGATTCTCTAGTCTTTTCTGGCAAGACCCGACCGAAGAAGCGGATGCGAAGAAAACCCGCTTGTTCTTCGACAAGATCCTGGCACGTATTCGCAAGGGTCGCACGACGATGAAGCAAGTGGTCGAAGACCTAGAGGCAGACATTCCAGCATCTAAACCTCTCTTGAGGCGTATGAAAGCGGATGAGGACCTCCTGGACTCTGCTATCAACACTCTACGACAACGCTCAGAAATCGGAAAGCTTCGTTCGTTGACGCCGAAGAAAGTAAGGGCAATTCAAGAATTGCGTCTCCGGTACCAGAGCACAGACAACGACCTTAATAAGGCATACGCCTTGCTCCAAGATCTCGGCGACTCGGACGCAACAAAGAACGTCTCACCAGCGTTCAAAAGGCGCCTGAGCATTGCGTCGAAAATTACCCAGAAGAACGCTCACCTTACGCGTTATCTCATCTGGAGTCTACAGGCCCGGCTCGAGGACCCGGAAATTGATCAGAGCGTGCTCGCAAACTACAAAGCTGTTGCGAACAGTTTGCTAACTCTTAGAGATACACAGATGGCCCTATCTCGATTGCTGGAACGTGCCATGCTCGTTTACGGTGTGGCTCCACATCTCTGGGAGGACATTAAAATTTTTCCCGACACCCCAGCTCTGGAAGTTCCGCAGGACCGTGAGCAGTCATCTCAGACCAAGACGTCTTCCGCTATGAGTGATGCCGACAAAGCCCAGCTTCGTGCCAAGGTAGCTGCTGAAGAACGTCTCGCCCATGAGGTCGATGCACAGAAGTCAGCTATGCGTGGACTCTCAGATGATGGATACGCGCGTATGCCGAAGGCAACACCGAGCAAATCGTTTGAAGAGCGAGGACCCCTTGCACACAGCCTGTTTAGACCGTTCGGACCCGTTTTGGAGAGCTTAGAGAGTGAAACGCCATCTAAGATAGGCGCAACAGAGGCCGACGTGAAGGTGACCCACGAACGTGACGACTACGAACTGGCTGATAACATGCAAAACTCAAACGAGGATAGGTCTGGTCCTGTCGCCACTGATCACGAGCAGCCGGCCTGTCCGGTTAAGGAAAGCAGATTGACTGAAGATCATGACGTGAAGAAGTTTGACATGCTGAAGGAGGATCCTACAATGGACGACGCCTCATATCACGCCAGTGGCACAACTACCGCAGATACCGTGCGCGGAGAAGAAGTCACAGCAATCGATGCAGCCCCAAAAGCTACACAAGAAATCTTTACCGCTGGCCACACTACTCCAACGACCGAACATGCCACTGTAGACCCGAAACCGAGCACTGACGATGCTGTTGGTGAAATACCTCAGTCAGGCGCATCATCACATTCGCCAGAACCGGGCTCACCAACGATGTATACAATCCTTTTGCACGATCCGCACAGCGGCAAGCTTTCGCTAACCACCTCTACAACAACGGAACCCTACAAGGCCCCTCCTATGATACCGCTACATGAAGCGCTATCAACTCTCGAAGAGCCCGCTAAGTTCATTCCGTACATCGAGAATGGTCTTGAGATCGTCAAAGCAAACAAGTATTTGCTCGTCTTGCGCGGCGGTCTCAATTCCACAGCATCTACCAGACCCTTCCAAACGGCCGATCCATCAACCACAATGGAGCAGAACAAGGACGCTGGCATCACAGGAGAAAGAACTTACATCAATCCGATAGATGGAACGGCACGCCTTTCGCCTACCGGCTACGTTGGGCCAGAAGAGAGCGAAGAGCAACTTGAGAAGGATTTCACTGAGCGCAGGCAGGCTGCCGAGCGAGCAGTTAGTAACCAAGAGAGCAGCGCAGAACAAGACCGGAGCGGACAAACGACCAAAGATAAGAAGAGGGGCGGTAAAGCAGCGGGTATAGTCAAAACGGCCATCTGGGCCTCGGCACTATGCTACGTGGCCGGTGTGATTGGGGAACTTGCTAGTTAAGACGCCTTTCGCGGCATGGCATCCACTTCACGTGTCGCTCTTTTCAAACGACGTCTGTTCTGGGTTGCTATCATCACTTTTCGATTCAGCGTTAGGTTGGTGTTGGCGTTGGCAGGTCACCACTCCGGTTCAGATTATATACATATGTATATCACCTGCTTCGATACTCTGTTTCTCAATCTTACATATTCTGGAGGACCAAATACTTACTCAAAATGCCTTGATATATCAGAGCAACCATACAGACTGCTAAACCACAGTACCGCTCTAGAGGGTCATACCCTTGAAGGCCCTCGCGATAAACGTCACGGCCCCTTCAATGTATTCAGGACGGATGTAGGTCAAGTGATAGAACTGACAGGACCCAGAGTCACAGACCTACATCTCATGGTCAGCATGGTCTGTTTCCCACCCTCGTACAACACGATTGATAGACTTACAGGATCGCCCTTTGCACAAATCTGCAGCACCTTTGCCTTCAAACCATTGGGGAACTTATCTCCAACTACGCCCAGCCTCAAATTTGGGTCTCCAAACATGACAACCGACTTGATCTTGGGGAACAGAGAAGTAGGCAGTCTGTCTGCAGCTCGGTGCATGATGCTTGCGCCTTGCGAGTAGCCGACCAGAGAAAAGGTCTGATTGGGGCAGGCGGAAGACTGCGCGGTCAAGCGCTGAACAATGTCATCGACGCCTTGCCTTCCACCAGAAATGATTTGCGAGCTGGCTGGGTACTGCAAGGAATTCAGTTGGTGATGCTATGTTCGAAGCAATACTTGGATATCGTACCTGGACCGGATACCCCTGTACTCCAGACAGTTCCGCTGAAACGTTGCTCACAATAGGGTCACCAACGATGACGCCGTATTTTGGGAAGCCAGGCTCGCTGGTACCGCGAGCTAACAACATGGTCAATGTTGCGGTAGATATTTGTGGTCATTGAACTGCAGCTCACCAACGAGTATCTCGTAGTCGGAACATCCTCTGGGGACATCGCCAGGAACGATTGGAACCGGCTCCCCGATTTCCACACCGCTATTAGGCAGCTCGGGACATTCCTCTTGGGCAGAAGAGGTGGCAAAGAATGCAAAGGCCAAAAGAGGAGCAATAGAAGTGTAGCGCATCTTCGTGGGCAGTGAACTTGATCTGCTCTGGTAGAACTTGTTGTTGCACGCATCTTGGAAGGAGACTACAGTGCCTTATAAGTTCGCCCATCTCGAACGCTACTTCCATCCCTAACAAACGTCACAGGAAGATACGACAAGGTTGAGTGGCATTGTGTCGTTGAAAGATTGGATGACTGTGGTGGCTGAACTGGGACCTCGGCAACTGTGACATGTTTGACAAGGGTGTCGATGGTGTTGCGATCATCTGCACAAAACATCCTCTTGGCTTTGTGAACCTTTAATCTATTCGATTTTTGTACCGAGGCATGATTGCAGCCAGTTGAAGACCAGGAATGAAGTATCATGGGGAGTTGTGTACGTTTGACAGTAATGTGTGGTAATATCATGCGCGTTACACCAATTGCGTTCTTTCGAGTTGCTTACGGCCACAGATCATCAATCTTAAATACAGTCGTCTTTTGTCTAGGTCGAAAGCAATGACCGTCAGTATGAGGTGAGTACATACATGCCTGAGGTATCGATATGGCTGTGGGTTGCAACCGCAAAGGCTACAGTAAGCAACAGTTCATCGCCGTAGCGGGACGCCTAATCCCGTGGTCCCACGTCTTTCTGCATGGACGGGTGCAAACGACGACAATCCCAACCTACCTTTCAATCACGGCAAGCCAAGCCCGATCAGACGCAAGGACCTGCGACACAATCCGATGAATCCAACCTTGAAAAGATCTCGTTCGCGTCGAATTGCCGATGCACCCCAGACGATCTAAGAGCCATGCAATCATACACAACAAGTTGCCGAGGTGCGTCGAATACTCTACGAGCAGCTATTGGTGTTTCCAAAGTCTTCCAAGGTCAGTCCAGAACTACCAGGAGTGAGGTTTCGGACAGGCCCTGTATCTTATCTGCTATCTCACACACCAACTTCTAATCTTAGGCTTTACTTTTCCTCCCCGTGTCTTGGTATAATACTATGATCTTGGCTATTTGAAGAGAGTCTCCTCAGGCTCTAGCTAATTGGGTGGTGGGGAGGAGTAAGAGTTGCCTCGGCTCAGGCACCAACGTCGGCGAACTGCACTTGGAATACACCAAGATATTGATGGTGAGACGGGATCATTCACGGAGAGAGGAGAGTGTGGGATCAGAAGGAGGATTGAGCAAATCGTGTGTATAAGTATGAGGCATCTTCACCTCACAACCATCCGGCAAGCTTCAACAACGAGCTCCTTCTGCCTTCCAATCACTCTCGCTCTCTCTGTTCGCCTTCGCCTTCGCTTTTCTACGCCGTAGTCTCTTTACCAAACACATCTTTCGCTCTTACTTTCACCATGATGAACACCATCATCTCCATCCTGGCTTTGGCCATCGCCTCTTCTGCCACGCCTATCGCGCTCCCCAACTCGGGGTCTGCCGTGGTTGCGACACGTCAAATCTTCTTTGACCGCACCAGCTTGACCGAGAATGAGTTCTCCAGCCGGCTCAGTGGCGGATGTAGGGATGTCATCTTTGTTTGGGCTCGAGGATCTACCGAAGCGGGCAACATGGTAAGGAAGCCGAAGGCTGGGTAGTTGTATTTTGGTTTAACTTGAGAAAAAAGGGCTCTATCATCGGTCAGCCACTGGGCGATGAGCTGCGCCGCGAATACGGTGACGACCTGGCTATTGAGGGCGTCGATTATGCAGCGCTGCTTTCCACCAACTATCTGCCCGGCGGCACCGATCTCGTTTCTGAGCGCGAGATGCGCGGCATTCTTGAAGACATCAACAGTCAATGCCCTTCGGCTGTCATCGTTTGCGGTGGCTACTCGTATGTTCAGCCCTTTCTCCAACTAATTCAGAGACTGATCATGACCACAGCCAAGGTGCAGCAGTCAACCACCGCGCTATCGAGGATCTCTCCGCCAGTGTCAAGAACCAGATCGCTGGTGTCGTTACCTTTGGCGACACCCAAAACCGCCGTGACAACCAGCAGATCCCCAACTTCCCCCGCGACAAGCTCCGAATCTTTTGCGGTGGGCTCGTTCGCGACACGGTTTGTGACGGTAACCTCGCAGGGGCTGTTCTACTTCCTCATCTCAGCTATGGCGATGACGCGGAGGAGGCTGGCGAGTTCTTGATTGGAAAGATTAATGCGGTTCGTGCCGCTAAAGCTTAGTTTACTTCATGTGAACGTGAAAGGCTTTTCTCGTGCTTTTAATTTCTAGAGGAACGCCTAAGGCGTAGGGGGGTAGAAGGGTAGAGAAGGCGAAGTAAATGCAAAATCAAACAAACAACCCCTTAACCAGTCCCTCAACAGCATCATAAACCTGACCTTCCTTCTGCCCACCAGTCGCTCTCTCAGTGATCACCGGAATCTGATCCTTGCCCACCTTGTAATTTCTCAAATCGCTATCCAGCTCCAGATCCTTCACCAACTTCAGCACCCTATCACCTACCTTCTCCGCATCAGCCTTGGCATCACCAGACGCCGATTCGCCGATAAAAGGAAGCAAACGAGCAACTTGCTCCGCTGCAGCGGGGTCTTGAGCTTTGAGCTTGACCACATGTCCGAGAGTGAGACAGGAAGTAATGCCATGCGGGATACTATAAGGAGAACCTAGTGCGTACCCCAGAGCGTGTGAGAGGCCTAGACCGCCCTTGATGTTGTAACCCAAAAAGCCCAGGGAAGCGAAAGCAGCGAGTTGGAGCTTTGTGATGACATCTTCGTCTTTGGGGTTTTGCTTGTACTTTGGCAGGGCGTCGAAGAGGGTGGCCGCGGACTGTAGCGTTAACCATCTGGCAGGCATCTCGGTGGCGGTGGGATGGTATAGCAGCTCGATGGCATGGTCCATGGCACGGAGACCTGTTGACATCCACAGGCGCTCGGGGGTATGCAGAGCGAATTTGGCATCGTAGATTACGCAATGAGGAACGAGTTCCTTGGCTCGCACACCCGTCTTGACACCGTCGGATTGCGTGTAGCCAGCCATTAGGGTGCATTCACTTGCGCTGAGCGTGGTGGGGATCGCGATGTGGTATAAATACTTCCCCGTTTTCTCGTTCAGGCGATAGCTGATGGCTTTGGAGCTGTCGATCGGGCTTCCACCGCCAATAGAGATGACCGTATCGATGCTTTCGTCTTTCTTGACTAGGTCGGTAGCTTCGTCGAGTTGGGCGACAGGTGCGTGTTCGCCGATCTTGGAGAAGGTGCCGGCGTGCTTGCTTCCCAACAGCTCTTCGACTTGCTTCACCAGAGGCGTTTTGCTAGCAAGTGAGTTTCCGGTGATGATGAAGGCTTTGCTTGACTCTTTCGGGAGGCATGAGAGGAGATGTTGTTTGACTGAGTCGGCGCCGTAGTGTAGTTTCTGGAGTTGCGTCGGTTGCCAGAGACCGGAGAGGGGGTGGTTCGTTGCGTCTGTCATCTTGGGTTTGGCTTTGGTCGAGCTGAGCCGAATGCTCAAAGGGCGTCGGTATTGAGTACCAGATGGGTTAATCTTGGTGGGTGTACAAAGCAGAGAGCACTTCAATGAACAGTGTATGGACTTGGTGACGATCAATCTAGTGATGTTGGTCCCACGTGCGATGAGGAAACCTTGTTTGACTGCAATGTGAGATGGAGTCATAGGAAGAGGCTGTTCAATCTGAAGTCAACTTCGCGCATAGTCAAAGGCCGGAAGCCAACGGTTGCAAGGTCGGCTATGACGTAAGACTTTAGCGGGTCGACGTTATGAGGTTATCCCGAGGTTCAGATAGCGGGGCACGGAGAAGATCAAGTAAACCCGTAGTGTGGCTATCATCGAAAGCACTCCGACTTTGGTAGACCTCTCTACGAATTAGGGCCAAGATTTCTGGCATGTACATTTCGCTGTGTGAACACTCGATCACGACATTGGCGCACATGTAAGGACGGTAGCATGAACATTTCAAATCGTAGATTGTAGAGCGGAGAAGTAAGCGGAGTGCTACCATCTCGCATCTCTAGACTATGGTACATTCATGACTCCACCATTATATCATCCCTTCCACATCGTGTCCTGACCACCAGAGGATATCACTGTTTCGTTAATTCCGACGTGTACCAAGGATCCGTAAGGGTAATAAAACAAACGCTAATGTGAGAAGAGAAACCGTCGGAAAGTATGATACAGAGATGCTCAAACATGTGCAGGGACATGTACACGTCTAGACGTGACCTAAACCAGACCAATCATGACAGGATGCAAGACGCCTACTTTTGGACGTAACGAAGCGATCAACAAGAAAGACAAAAACCAGTGCTGAACGATCAAAGCATTTACTGCTTCTTCTCGCCCTCACCCTCAGGCTGCTGAGGCTGCTCGCTCTGGTTTTGGCTCTCGGAGCGGGCCTTGTGCATCTGGTCGAACAGGCTCAGGGAGGCGTTCTGGAGCTCGTCGGTCTTCTCCTTGATCTCAGCGGCGGTGGCAGAGCCCTCGCCAGACTGGCTCTGGGAGATGAACTCGCGCATGGAAGCGATCTTCTCCTTGATCTTCTCGGCCTCGGCCTTGTCGAGGCGGTCCTCGAACTCCTTAAGAGCCTTCTCAGTGTCGTTTACAACACTGTCAGCGCGGTTGGCAGCCTCGATGGAGTTCTTGCGCTCCTTGTCTTGCTCAGCGTACTGCTCAGAGTCCTTGACCATGTTCTCGATCTCAGCGTCTGAGAGACCAGATCCGGAAGCGATGGTGATGGACTGGTCCTTGTTGGTGGACTTGTCCTTGGCGTGAACGTGGACAATGGAGTCAGCGTCGATATCGAAGGTGACCTCAATTTGGGGTACACCACGGTGGGCCGGGGGAATGCCAACCAGCTGGAAGTTGCCGAGGAGCTTGTTGTCGCGGACAAGCTCACGCTCACCCTGGTAGACCTTGATCTCGACAGCGCTCTGGAAGTCAGCAGCGGTGGAGAAGACCTGGGACTTCTTGGTGGGGATAGTGGTGTTACGGTTGATCAAACGGGTGAAGACACCACCGAGGGTCTCGATACCGAGGGAGAGAGGAGTAACATCGAGCAGGAGGAGGTCAGTGACCTCACCAGCAAGGACAGCACCCTGGATAGCAGCACCGATGGCAACAGCCTCGTCGGGGTTGACCGACTTGGCGGGGTCACGACCGAAGATGCTCTTGACAGACTCGGTAACCTTGGGCATACGGGTCATACCACCAACGAGGATGACCTCGGAAATGTCGGTAGCCTTCAGGTTGGCGTCTTTGAGGGCCTTGCGGACGGGCTCGACGGTGCGGGTGATGAGAGGGTCCATCATCTTCTCAAGCTGGGAGCGGGTGAGCTTGGTGTTGATGTGCTTGGGACCGGAAGCGTCGGCAGTGATGAAGGGCAGGTTGATGTCGGTCTGCGAGGAGGAAGACAGCTCGATCTTGGCCTTCTCAGCGGCCTCACGGATACGCTGGATGGCCATGCGGTCGCTGTTCAGGTCGATACCCTGCTCCCTCTTGAACTGGTCAACGAGGTGGCGGACGAGAGTGATGTCGAAGTCTTCACCTCCAAGGTGAGTGTCACCGTTGGTAGACTTGACCTCGAAGACACCAGCCTGGATCTCAAGAATGGAGATATCGAATGTACCACCACCCAAGTCGTAGACAGCTACGACGTTGTCGGTGGCCTTGTCAAGACCGTAGGCGAGAGCGGCAGCGGTGGGTTCGTTGACGACACGGAGAACGTTGAGACCAGCGATTTGACCGGCATCCTTGGTGGCTTGACGCTGGGAGTCGTTGAAATAGGCGGGGACGGTGACGACGGCGTTCTTGACGTTCTTGCCCATGTAGGACTCGGCGGTCTCCTTCATCTTTCCAAGGACGAAACCTCCGACCTGGGAAGGCGAGTACTTCTGTCCTTGGGCCTCGAGCCAGGCATCACCGTTGGTGTGCTGGACGATCTTGTATGGGACCTGCTGGATATCGCGCTGGACCTCAGCATCGGTGAACTTTCGGCCGATGAGACGCTTGGTAGCGAAAAGAGTGTTCTCGGGGTTGACGACAGCCTGGCGCTTGGCGGCGATACCGACGAGACGCTCGCCCTCCTTTGTGAAACCGACGACGGATGGTGTTGTGCGGCCACCTGTGGATTGAGTCAGTGGGATGGCCAATTTGGCTGAAAAACTAGACGAACGTACCCTCGGAGTTCTCAATGATGCGAGGGACCTTGCCCTCCATGACAGCGACGGCGGAGTTGGTGGTACCTAAGTCAATACCAATGACTGAGCCCTTGACCTTCTCCTCGCCGCCCTCAGCGTACCCGCGCGTGAACATGGCGGGGGCCCTGAAGGCGGGTGTGCGTCGCGCCGCCGAAGCCGCACGCGGCAAAAACTATGATGAGGTCAGAGAATGTCAAGTATGTTTGGATGCATGCAATTGCTTACAGTCCGTGATAATCTTGAGGACAGCATTGTGGATGTGAGAGACGCTGCGGGAGGGGATGCAAGCGACAGAAGATTGGGTGTAGAGATGGATGGTGGGAGGGTGATGGTATATATGATGTAGTGATGGAAGCTTTGACGATGGACAAAATTCTCGGAGAAGATTCTAGCTCGTTTTGGTGTAAAATCGCCGCCCGAGGTTCCGCTGTAAGTGTCTGTGCTTCCGAGTTGCTACGAACAATTGCGCATGCGACCTAACTCCGGAAGATGAGGCGAAGTGCACTTTTTGCCAGTGGGCGACGCTGGTGGATGACGCGATGACGGCCTCTGCATTCTGTGTCATGGCCCTCGCCGTGCGTCGCGGTGCTCAGGGCTTGGCGCATCTCGCTCGCGTGTGGGGAAGATGCTTGACCATGGTGACGCCTGGAGCACCGCGAGACACGGCGACTCTGCCAGCCCGCCCTACGACATATCCAACCCACGCCCACATAGAACCTACGCACCCGCTGCATCTCGCCCTCGAACCTGTCTGCAGCCCCTCCTGTCAAAACCTCTAGCCTTCTGCGCTTAGACAACTGTGACGTAGAGTGCCTGCTGCTGCCGCTGAGCCTCACCGGCTCCACCCAGCATCGCAGAGACATGCGGCCTTCTCCTGCCTGACCGCAAACTATGGCCGTCGATGACTTCCTGAGCAGAGACACGGAGACCTTTGTCTTGGCTCACAAGGCGTACTACCCGACCAAGATCCCCATCGCGTGAGCGCCAGCCAGACACTGCAATACCATGGGTCGATGCTGACGGGTGCAGACACTATCAATTGCGCCACTTCATCTCGTGCCCCGAACCAGATCTCGTCTACTATGCCAGTGGCGCTGCCGTTTACTGTCTCAATGCGGCTACACGAACACAGGCCCACGTTACTACACTGCCCTGGGAAGCGCGCTGCACGGCTTCGGGCTACGGCTACGTCTGCGTGGGGGGAGAAGAACATGGCAACTTCGCCGCCATCAAGGTGACCGGCTTCCCCCCAACGGATCCCTCCGACGTCGACGCCTCGTTGCCCTTGGACTTCCAGCACCGCCTGCCTCGACCGCCCATACTAGGTGCAGCTTCGCGCGTACGCCTCGAGAAGATTGGAACCGATATCGTCAACTCCATATCCATACACAAGCTGCCGGCTGAAGGCAATGGCCAGGATGATGTCGTCGCAGTCCTTACCAACAACGACAAGACGGTGCGCATATACTCTCTTACACAGAATCTGGAGCTGGCAGTCATCGACCTGGAATTCGCAATGAACCATGCCTCCATTTCCCCCGATGGCCAAATGCTCGTGGCTGTCGGTGACGCCCCCATTGGTTTCTTCTTCGAACGTACAGACTCGCGGAAGCCTAGCAATAAGATACGCGAGGGGCTGATGCAGTCGACGCCTCCTGTGTGGACGGAGCTACACAGAGTAAACCTCTATCGGCCCGCTCATTCCCATGCAGACGGCTACTTTACTACAGCTTGGTCCCCCTCAGGACGTCTCTGTGCAGTGGGATCAGAATGCGGCTACATCACAGTCTTTGATATCGAACTGCTAAAACTTGTCGAATACGGTGAAGACGCGATCCTACAGTTGATAAGTTCTACTAGGCCGGACAGCCGAACTGGGCCCGGCGCGGTTCGGACGATGCATTTCTCGCCAGCACCGTGGGACTTCCTCATCTGGAGCGAAGACCAAGGCAGGGTGTGCATTGCCGACTTGCGAGCTGGCCTCAAGCTTAAGCAAACCCTGATATTGGACCCGAAAGAGGAAGGTCTCGAGACTGTCGAGATAGCTGACTTCGACCTCAACCTCAGTCCGGAAATGCATGAGCTTCGCAGAGAAGCGGATCTGATCCGGAGGTATCGACGCGCGTTAGATGGGGAAGGCAATACGACGACCGCCAACGTCGCGAATGAATACCTTGAAACTGACACTGAGCGACAGAGACTACATCGACGGCTGGGTGTAGTAGAGTCGGACAACGATCCACTTGGCTTAACCGT